AAGGCCGTGGCAGCATTCTGACCCTCTCCTCTTTACTTCCCTCTTGTCATGACAACTAGAAACAGTCCAGGTTTCTTCCCTCACTCAGTGGATGCTATAGTTGGCCATGGACAAAAACACATGTCATAAATGGATTTATATTTTTATATCATCACTGATTATGATTTAATAGACCACCATAATAGGGGTACTTCCATTTTTAACTGGGACCCTGACAACATACTAACCTCAATTTGACCTTAACTTATTCAATTTTCCTGTGCCTCAGTTTCCCTCCCTATTCTTCATATCATTTTGAGAATTAAATGCATGTAAAGTGGTTAGAACTACGTTGGGGACTGCAGGAAACTGAACATTGTCACTAGTAATTAAATGTGAAAAGGGAATCTGGAAGGCTGGCCAACCTTAATCGCTCTGAATGGTTGGAGCTATTAACTCATGGTTTAGTTGAGACTTTGGTAGTTAAAGCAACCTCCACCTGTTAGTCATATGTAAATTCTTGCTGTCTATTATTGGAATTTCCTGCCAAAAGGTTATGGGTGTTTCCCATAGCCTCAATAAAAAGCGATAGCAAAGGCCAGAGCAATGGTATTAATAGTTCTCCCCCTAGAGGTGGACACCCACCTGGCCCCCCATTTTTCCAAATTAACTCTTTCCAGTCTCTTTTCATTTGTGTGTGGCCTTCTCCAGAACACGGAACCCTAAAGAGGAACCCTGAACCATGCAGGACGTGATAAGGGATCCCACAGGGGATGTAGTTAAGCACTATATAAGTGTTTGGTAAAAGAGAAGGAATCATAGGTGGTCGTGTGTGAAGCAGAAGCATCTGGGTGCTGGGGTAAGAAGCGTTGATTGCTACATACTGTCACCTACGTGACAAAATGTTGTGGCCTGAGATTGAAGGGCCCCAAATCCAGTCTGCTCTCAGAGACAAAGACTTGGAACACGCAACGGTTCATGTGAGGGCCACAGAAGTACTGACCCGTTCAAGACTTTTTAAGTTAGTCCATGTTTAAGTATGAAATGCAGGCGCCATCTTCTGGTTATCGTGTGAAATGAGAGTTAAAGGCTTGGTGGCACCTCCAGCTGACTCCAGCCAGAGCCAAACCTCAGGGGATCCCTGGAGCCTGGGCAGAGGAATGGGGGAAAGGCATGCACCTGCAGTCTCAGGTGACAGAGCTCTGTGTCAGCTTCGGGTTGCAGATGTCAACCAAGGCCAGGGTCAAGTAACCAGGGTTATGTACAAGAAGAAGGAATTGTAGAATCCACTGGGAGGAAAAGCCACTTTATTTCTTAACTCCTGACATTTACCAAGATGAGAGATCAGTGGAGAAGGCTGAGTCAGGTACTGCTGACTATGGGCACTAAAGGGAGGTTCGGAACTTCCCTTTGACTTTGAGGCCCACTGCACCGTGTTTCTGGGTCTCCTTAGACAGGGAGACATCTGCCTGCCAATAGGATTACGTCCTTATTTTGTGGCAGGCACTCTAGTAGGCATTTCCATATTAAGACTCTACAATATTATAAGGTATCATTAATCCCATTTAGCTGGTGAGGAAACCTCAGCAAACCTGTCAAAACCCTCTCTGTTGTTAAGGGACTGCATTAGTTTGCCAGGGCTGCCATAAAAAAATGCCACAGACTGGTGGCGTTAAACAACAGAAATTCATGTTCTCAGAGTCTGGGGGCTGGAAGTCCAAGGTCAAAGTGTTGGCAGGTTTGGTTTCTTCTGAGGCCTCTCTCCCTGACTGGCAGATGGCTCCCTTCTCCCTGTGTCCTCACATGGCCTTTTCCCTCTTGCCCATAACCCTGATGTTTCTCTGTGTATCCAAATTTCCCCTTCTTATAAAAGCAGCAGTCAGATTGAATTAGATCCCTCTCTAACTGACCTAATTTTAACTTAATCACCGCTTTAAAGGCCCGTCTCCAAATATAGTCACATCATAGCTATTGGGGTTTCAGCACTGATTTTTCAGGGAACATGATTCAGGGTATCATGTCAGGCTTGAACCTGAGGTCTCTGCTTTCAGCCCTTGTTCCCGTCCACAGTCCCACGGCTGTTCTGTCCTCAGGCATAGGCAAGATTTCCTTTCAGTTCATTTAGGTGGAAGTGTAAGGTGTCTAATAATCTAGGAAAAACTATCATAGAAATTCAGTTGAAATTCTATTCTTAGCTTCCTTTTAGAATAATGAACCAAGGAAATGGGATCTTAGGTCTGAAATTCACTTAACAGTCCGGGGTGGGGGTGGGGGTGGGCAGTTAATTTTCTGCTGAGAATACCTCCTCTACATTTGTAAGACAATATGCCTTGTCATCTTCCTCTTGGCTAAGCGGATGGCCAGTGCCCAGGACCAGTCTGACACACTCCTGTGTGCCTTAGTTAGGACTGACTTTCCAGTGTTGCACTCAGGGGCAGGCTCTGGGCCAACTGCTTCTTTCCTAGGCTTATCCCACAGCCCAGAGGAAATACCAGCCATGGGTCGTGCTGGTATTAGGGGACAAACGCGTGACCACAGCTGAACTTCTTCCTTCAGATGATGTGGGGCCTGGGAATGCAGGGTGTATCCCTGCAATATTCTTGTGACCAGATGGAGTGGGGATGCCCACGCATGTTTCCACCTGGGAGACATCTGCTTGCCACCAGCAGGCAAGGGCTCTGGCACGCTAGGGTTTGGGCACAGGCCACCATCCTTAGCACTAAGTCACAGAGCCGTGTGCTTCATTTGCAGCCAGATTATAATCCTAGGAATTTATGAGTATGAAAGCATTGTGACTCTGTGGGTTGGTAGTTGTAACCAGTAAGATCTGACCAGATTTAGGTGCTAGTAAGACAATCACAGGCCAGGGGAGCAGAAAAGAACAACGGGACTCTGAAACATCTACTTCAAGTCCATGCTGAACACTGAAAGAGCTACAGTCCAACAATACAAAGTCCCCAGTTGAGATGTGTTATTGCCTCTTACCAGTTACATAGGTCCTGGCCATGAAACCTTACTGAGCCCCATCTGAAATGGGGACGATCGTGTGCCCCAGACATTGTGGCTGGTTGGATTTAATAATGAAACTAAGTCATCTGCAAGAGGATACTGTACATTCAGACCGCAGTATACAGATGTAACTTGTCCTTATTTTTAAATATGCCCTCGCCTCATTAATAGTGATTTTCATGTTGTTTGATAGAAATTTGTATGTTTATTTGTTCTGATGGACTGTAAGTTCCGAGAGGACAGAGACTGCATTATTCATCTGGTATCTGTGGACCTAGCTGCAACTAGGTTCTCCGTCATAAACAAACAAACAAACAAACAAACAAATAAGTAATGTTAGTCTACAAATTTACCAAAGGCATGGTAGGTGAAAATTAATTATAGAAAAAGAAAGTTCATAGTTCTGGATCTTTCAGAGATATTCACTGGTTTATGAAATGCTCTTTTCCAAATTCAGCACAAGTAATTCAGTCCAGACTCAGTAGAACCCCACAAAAAGAGGTTTCTGGTATTGACAAGGCCATGCCAGCAGGAGCTGCCACTGAAAAAGAGAAGTGCCAGTGTCCTCGCTATCCACACTCCTGTCAGGTGAACTGCTGCCTGAAGGCATGCTACCCAGACTCAGAGCCAAATAGACAAATAGGAACATGCTTCTGGATGAATCTTCACTGTCTGAATTCTGATGCTCACCACCTGGAACTCAAGAACCAAAGTGATTTTTGCAAATATCCCTTGTAACCAAGCAAGTTAGCTTCCTCAGCTTGGATTGTAAAGGAGAGCCTATATCCAAATATATTTATAACAGTCCCTTCCTACATGCACATATACATGTATATAGACATACACACATCGTATATAATAAAAGGCTAATATGTAAATTGTCCCCTTGACTGGGAGTTCAACCAGGACTTCAACCAGGGGGCAGAGCTGGCCCCTCCTTCCAGCCAGCCCCACCCCTGATCACCCTCCATTACCCCAATCAGGGGCAGGGCCAGCCAGCCAACCTCCTATGTCCCCCCGTCCCCCCCTCCCCACTCCCGGCTGGCCTTTTATTGATTTCAGGGAGGAAGAACAGAGGGAGAGACAGAAACATCAATGATGAGAGAGAATCATTGTTCAGCTGCTTCCTGCTTGCCCCCACTGGGAATTGTGTTGTAACCCAGGGATGTGCCCTGATGGGGAATTGAACCATGACCTCCTGGTTGATAGGTGGATGCTCAACCACTGAACCATACCGGACAGACAACATCTTTTTTCTTGACAATACTTACCATTTATTGGTGTCCAGCATAAAGAACATAATCTAATACAAAATTTTTTGAGATTCTCCTGCCTAATTGCAGTCAAGATTGAGTCTGCTCTGTGGAAGTATTTAAAGTTATAGCATAGTGGGTGGCAGCCTAAGCTGCTTTTTAGGACTCATTGTCACTGTGGAAGGGGAAGGACATCCCAAATCTTTGAAGGGTTATCTCTGAATCCCTAGCACCTAGCACAGAAGTCACATTTAATGCTTCATAAGCGAGTACTTGGGACAGCTAAGAGGATGCACCCTGTGCCAGAAGTGAACAGGCTGGTGTTGGCTTCAAGGGCTACACTTTAGCATCAAAATTTAGAGTGCATTTATGGTGAAATATGTACATTTTAATAAAGTATTTAGAGATCCTTTGGACTTATTATAGTTAATGCAAGCTACCTCAAATGAACAGCTTTTTAAAATAATATATTTTCTCTTGCAGTATTTTAAATCTTCAAACTATATGGTTTTACTGCTATTTATTCAGAAGAGAATAAAAATACATTTAAAAAAATAACTTTACTCTGGGGATGGAAGCAAATTCTTTTTTTTAAATTTTTTTTATTTTATTAATTTTTTCTCTCTCATTTTTTTATTAAGGTATTATATGTGTACATACCTTACCAATCCCCCCTCCCCCTCACTCCCATACATGCCCTCCTTCCCCAGAGTTTTGCATCCATTGGTTATGCTTATATGCATGGAAGCAAATTCTTACCTGTGAACCAGTGTGTTCTTGAGGCCACCGACCAGGCCCCGGGCGATGGTCTTTGCTCTGGGGGTGAGAATCGCTTGAGAGACGTGGAAGGCGCCACGTGGGGCACGCTCACTCAGAGTGGTCTCCAAGAAGAGGATCAGCTTGCGCACACTGGTGGTATTTGCCCAGGGCGCTGGGATCTTCTTTCCAGGCCACAAGAAGGGGTATTGCTTGTAGAAGGGGCAGTGATAGAAAATTAGAACCTGAGATGTCCAAAACAGAAAAAGCAAAGCAAGCCATGAACAAACTGAATATCAACTCCTTGGCTTGACTCGAATTGCTAGGAGGAAAGGCAAACAAATATAAACACATGGAAATTCAAGAATTGTTTATATATATATATATATAAAAGATAATAAGCAAGGATTTAAGTATTTGCATAAGTCTCAGTTAAAGATTCATAACTTTATTTTTGTCAGCATTTTGAAAGTATGGTAAAACCCTGAACCCCTTCTCAGGCTATGATTTAAATGAACTCATAAAATAGGCAGGATTACAAAAGAAATCAATAAGATGGAAATAAGGCTATGAATATATTAGTAGAATTTGTAATAAATTGATGTATGAGTTTCATAATAAATACATTAAAATTATTTTATGGTAAGTATAAGGTCTATAATTTTGAATTAATGATGAGTATAATGATATTTCAAGATATTTGTAATAACTGATGTGTGATTTGGTGATATATGTGATTTCTATAGGGAGAAAGTCATAGTTACAGGGCCAATACTTCTGAGGGTGACCGCATCCGTAATCTATGGGTATACACTTTTCAGTTAAATTCACAGACTTCTTATATTCTTCAGACCCAGGTGGAGAACCCCTGAAACTACAAGTTACGACTCAGAAGCTCATGAAATTGGCACTGAGCTCTTGAAGTTGAAATCAACACAATCAACTTGTGTGCTGACTTTCAAAGGTGTGTACTGATTCTGAATGAAATAACCCTTCCCATGGGGAGCAGAGGTACTCAAGGCAGGGAAGGAGTCTTCTGGGAGGCCTGGGTCTCCAGTGAGACCTCTCAGGATGGTGATTTTGAAACAATTAGCAAGCCACATCACAGCATTAATTAGTTTCTGAGATGCAGCTGAGGGACAGGGAGTTGCTATTTTGGTTGTCCCAATTCAGAGCTCTGCTGCTTAGGTTTCTAGAAGTAACATATTTTCCATCTGGAGGGAAGACAGTGTGCTGTTTATACTCCTTGGACTGCAATCCTCGGGTCCCTGGCCGGAGAGCATAATATTCTAGGCACCCACATAGGACTCTGAATGTGTATTTTGTTTCCTGTGAGCCTTTATCTCTCACCCACGGTGCCTGGCTAACTGCTCCTGGGGGCCTCCAGTTGAAGTGCCAGGTCCAGAACACTGAATGGACTGATGGTTGTTCTTGTTTGTAATGGTTTATGAATAATATCTGACTGACTGCTAATGCTGTCTGTGGTAAACAGGGGTGCTAATAAGGTTAATCACAGGCTCACTGTAAGCAGATTGTCTGGGAGATTGGGGAGGATTTCCTGCTGGTGGGGTCATTAGCTGGTTTGGAAGGCTGGGGTCTCCAGTGTCCCTGAGTGAGGAAAGCTGGCCCCTGGGATGGGCTGCGGGAGAGGCAGGCTGTGTAACCCTTGGACAAGGCTCTTCCGATCACTGACCAGGCTGCCTGCCCCTAAGAAATGCCAGGGTGTGAGAGGACAGTGCTGCTCCTCCCTTAACCTTGGAAAAGATGCAAACAGTACAAATTACACGAAAGAGATTTTATGCCTTTCTTCAGGAATCTTCTTGAGTGATTTGATCCTAAAGGTTCAAGGAGAATTTTATTTTTAATTTCTTTATTGATTAAGGTATTACATATGTGTCCTTATCCTCCCATTAACCCCCAACCCTCCCCCAGTCATGCCCTCATCCCCCTGTTGTCTGTGTCCATTGGTTAGGCCTATACGCATGCACACAAGTCCTTTGGTTGATCTCTCTCCCTTACCCCCACCCTCCCCTACCTTCCCTCTGAGGTTTGACGGTCTGATCGATGTTTCTCTGTCTCTGTATCTGTTTTTGTTCATCAGTTTATGTTGTTCATTATATTCCATAAATGAGTGGATCATGTGATATTTATCTTTCTCGACTGGCTTATTTCACTTAGTATAATGCTCTCCAGTTCCTATTTACAGTAGGAGGTGGGACTAGCAAATCCATTTTTATTCCACAGATTTCCAGGGGCAGTAACTCTTATCCAGGACCTGTGTTTGCATCAGCCTCCCCACCTCACTCTGATGTATGTTTCTCTGAGATACTCTCCCCATCCAGCTCAGCAATTTGAATATAATATATTTTTCTCTTGAGATTCAGATTTTAAAAATCCTATTTTTTTTGAGAATTATTTCTTCATTGACCTCCTCTTATTCTGATTGGTTCTTTCTGAGGCCGCTGGGATATGGATTTATATTATGTACTCTTTTACAATTGATTACAAAAACCCCCATTCTTAACATAGTACATTTGAAGCCATTTTATATTGTAATTATATAGTGGCTATTTTGTATTTTGCTAGTGTTATGTATTCTTACTTTCTCAGTAAGATTCTAAATACTGCCAATCTGTAGATTAAATTTTCTAATTCATTATACCCTGAAAACCCATGTCACTCATGTACAAATATATATCTGTGAGCAGTGATGTAACTGCTTTTGAGTAAATGGAATGTGACTGAATAGTGATACACTTCGTGCTATTAAACTGTAGTAATGAAATACTCAGGGGCTTACATGCAAGGCAGCTCATTACATAATGAAAGTTTAACCACCAGTAGGGTACTGCCCAGCAGGAAGGGATGACCGATGGCTCTGCTTTTAAGAAGAGACCTGTCAGGGAAAGCTTTGGAAAAGAAGGGGGGCATGAACAGCCTAGAATTCAAATTGATGACATTCTCCTTTTTTCTGAGATGTCATCACAGGGTCTTTATAATTTTTAGGGATATCTGTAGTAGAGGATACAGATTAGCCCATACTTAACAGCTTTGATAGATCATCACTGTGCTGCTCAACAGTCACTGTCCACCCCATTCATTACTCCTGAAGACAATTGTTATTCCTACAGATCCCATAACAATTTAGTGTGTGTGATGTGACAACCCATCCAGAACACTATCTCTATTCACAATTTTAAAGCTATATTTATAACAGATATCTGTTTATAAACCTAGCTGTACTCAAATTTAACCTTACCTGAATCCCAGGACTCAAAAGCCTGCTTACCCATCTCCTTCCCTTCCGCTCATTTTGCTAATTCTTTAGACCAGAGGTTGGCAACTGGTGGTCCACAGAGGTGTGAAAGGTTGGCAACCGCTGCTCTAGACCTTCTGATAATAGGGACTCATGAATAAAAAGAGTGTTTAATTAGCATAGACTGTGACACCAGTTGTGAAAATCACCAAGATTTTTGTGCAGCGCTGGGAACCTGAGAAGCTGTGGGAACTCTGGGGAGCCTGTGGTGGAATCCTGGCTCCTGTCACTCACTAACATGTTCTCCTGGGCAACTTGCTTAATCTCACTATGCTTCAGTTTTATCACCTGTAAAGAGAGAATAATAACAAAATACCTATCTCATAGTGTAGTTGAAAGGATAAACAAGTTAATGTAGGTACTATGCACATTGTAAAAGCTCACTAAATGTTAGCTGTTCCTGTTGTTGCTATACCTATCTATATATATAAAAGGCTAAACGACTGTCCGACCAGTAGCTATGACATGCACTGACCAACAGGGGGAAGATGCTCAATACAGGAGCTGCAGAGCTGCGGTGACTTGACAGCAGCAGTTCTCAGGTGATGCACCGTGAAACCAGAGAGAAGGAGCCTGATTCTAGGGTGTGTCACCTGAGAACTGCCCTCTCACAATCTGGGACCCCTCTGGGGATGTCAGAGAGCCAGTTTCAGCCAGACACCTGCAGGCCAGGACAAGGAACCCCACCAACCAATGAAACCCCGTTCACTCCACAGAAGACCTTTAAGCCATGGCCCTGCCCCAAGTGCAGCTGGCTGGGGAGGGACCATGAAAGGTTGGCTCCATGGTGTCTCCAGCCCATCTCACCCATGCCCTGTCGTCTACTTTCTAATTAATTTTCTTATAATGTGCACGAATCTGTGCACCTGGGCACTAGTTATTTAATATTGTAAGAGAGAGACTCCACAGGGGTAAAAAATCTCTCCTAATGAGACCTGTGAGTCTAAATGTATATAAACTCATGTTTGGAGGAAGGGGCATGGTAAATATTTGGCTACTTATCACTTACAAATGTTTCTGTGAGGAAAAATAGCTTAAATTTTAACGGATACTAAGACTTAACTCATTAGCCTCTCTAAGTCTAAGGACTTAAGCACTTTATAAGTATACAAGAGGCCCAGTGCATGAAATTCATGCACGGAGGTTGCGGGGAGAGAAGGAATCCCTCAGTCCAGCCTATACCCACTCCTATCAGGGACCCCTTGGGGGATGTCTGACTGCAACTTTAGGCTTGATCCCTAAACCGGCAGTCGGACATCTCTCTCGCAATCTGAGACCACTGGCTCCTAATTGCTCACCTGCCTGCCTGATCACCCCTAACCTCTCTGCCTGCCTACCTGATCATCCCTAATTGTGAGAGGGCAGGGTAGGGCGAGGATGGGCTCCTGACTCCACTGTGGGGCAGGGCGGAGTTATCCTCCATTCAGTAACTGAACCCTAGCCCTCACCCACCAATCAGGGTTAGCCGAGGCAGTGACATCACCACCGACCTGAGTAAAACCCCTGGACTGGGCGAAATTCACTCTCTCCTGCCATGCTGCCGGCGTAAGTGGGACAGAGCCCATGCTATCATGGAAAAGGCTCTTTTGTTTATTGCATCAGACTCGGCTTCCTGGTGGTCCTTGGGGATCATGAAGTCTAGGCGTAACAAATTGCTCCCCTGCCAGCTTGATTACTCTCAACTGCTCTCCCCATCACCTGATCACCCCTAACAGCTCTCCCCTGACTGCTTGATTGCATCTAACTGCTATCCCTCACTGGCCTGATTGCCCCTAACCCCCTACCAGCCTAATCTCGCACCCAACTGCCCTTTTTTGCTGGCCTGATCACCCCCAACTGCCTCTGCCTTGGCCTCCACCACCATGGCTTTGTCTGAAAATAAGTCAGACTTCCTGAAGATGGCTGGTTGACCCAGTTTAATTAGCATATTACCCTTAGATTATGTAGGATAGGGTTGCTTAAATTGAAGGGGGGGGGGGGAGAAGGACTTTTTTCAGCAGGGAAAGATGTTCTTTGCAGACAAAAATACATAATCCCTATATCTGGACTGATAGCCATCCATATGCACTATACTGCCAAACTGGTTATTTAAAAACTGAACAGCTTTCTTACACCTTACACCAAATAGCTATTGCCCTTAAAACTCCTCCTCAGCCCCAATCTTAGGTTTTGCCTTCGAAGTTCACCCAGATTAGGTTCTGATTGGTCAGTTTCTATGCCAGTCAGCGTCAAAAGCTCCACCTCCTAGGCAGCCATTGGGTCTTCTGGAAAATCCAGAATGGCCCCGCTGACAACTGCCTTACTCTCCCGGGCCACCACTCTCTCTCCAGGCCTTGCCAACTTCCATGGTGGCTAATGATTAGGCCTCACCTCTCTCTTTCTCCAGGTCTCACCAGCAGTGCCACGGTGGCTGCTGATCAAGCCCTGCCTCTCCCTCTCCGGGCCTTGCCAGCAGCTGAGCAGCTGAGAGACCCTGCTTCTCTTTCTGGGCCTCTCTCTAGGTCTGATCTGTAGCCTCTGTACCTACCTCACCCTGCCCACCACCCCACCGCCCTGCCCACCTGTCTGCTGCCAGCCTTGCTGTGATGGGAGTCTGAGGGCCATGGGGGAGGGACCAAAAGGTGCTCCGTGCACTTCCTGGTGACAGGTCATTTAGGTTGTGATGGCCTTAGGCTATTATTAACATAGATAAAACAATCCAGTGTTTCCCATTATTCAGGTCAAACCTGAGAGTTATCCTAGAACTTTACTTCCTTTCACACCCTAAACCTCAACCATTAGGCACTCTGTTGGCTCTCCTTCTGATTCAGAATCTGACTACTTCCCAACAACAACAGACTCCTCCCTGGTTTCCCCTCTCCTTCCCCTTTCCCTATTCCTGGTCTCTTCCTGGTAACCCGAGGGAGACCATAACCACTGAGCCAGGTCCCAGCACCCTCTGCTCAGAACCCTACACCCAGAATACAAGCCCAGTCCTTACAGTGCCACAGGCCCACCTAGTCAGCCACTCTTCCTCTGACCTCCTCCATGGCTGGCTCTGCCTTCCAGTGCCCCCTGCTTTTCCTCAAAGATGTCTGGCACACTCCTGCTGGGGTTCTGCCTCAGCTGCTCCTCTCCTGGGAAAGCTCTTCCCCCAGGGTCCAGGTGATTAACTCCCTCCCGTGCCATCTTGCAATGAGGGCTGCCCTGACAGATCTATTTAAAAACTGTGACCAACTCTCCAGCCCACGAACCCTGGCTCCCCTCACCAGCTTGACTTCCTTCTTCATGGCCACTCTCTGGCATTATATGGAATGTATTCATTATGCTTACTATCGATGCACTGTCTCCCTCCACCTGGATGAAAGTTCCATTAAGGGGCAAAGATCTTTGTTTCATTTACTAATGTATCCCAAGTGCTTAGAATGATACTTAGCACATACTCGGTGTTCAAAAAGTGTTTGCAAGTGAATAATCTTTAATTGACTTTTAATTAGAAGCTCTTCCATAAGTTAAAAAATATCTGCCTCTTTAAAATATTTTGATTAATGTATTTCTGAGCAACTGAGCAATTATGAATCAAAGTACTTTTTCTTTTTTTCTTTTTAAAGAGAGTCTAAATTGGAAGCTGACCATTCCTGGAGTTCTTTTTCCCATGATCTACTATTTTTGGGGATAAGAGCAGAATATATCTGAGGCCCACATTCCTTTTCGTGGGTATATCCTTCCTGGGTCTAGGTTTGGGGACTCTTCTCAGCATAAGATTAGTCTCCAAGCCTGGATCCCTCTGACGGGCTCTTCCTTTCTTAGTTCTTTTCCACTGTGCCCCAAATTCTGTGAAGATGGCCTTTTAAAATATTAACACACCCGAAATGATCACTTTACATGCCTTTGTCAGCTGATGTTTTCACTTATCAATCAGTACTTGGCAAGGATTATCTGACATTGGGTTGAAGGCAGGATGGAATGGACTGCCCCTGAAGGGAAGCAGTGGGGTTAAAAGTGGGCTTTATAAGGGAGAAAGTAAAATGGTATGACCAATCGGTCCATTTCACAACTTTGCTTGGGCTGGTTATGGACAATTTTAAATACTTGGCAGGTGTTCATCCAGGTTAAGGGCATCCAGAGAAGCCCTTGAAGCTGTCCTGGAGCCCAGGAGCTTGTGTGAGTATGTTTAATATTCCAAACCATCTATGTCTTCTAGACTAAGACCCTGCAATGAGCCATCTTACAGCTAGCGATACAGAAGAGGCACAGTCTTGTTCTTTCATCTCAGTTCTCCTACCTGGTACCTCTTCTCCCACAGGATCTGAAGGGTCAGACTCTCCACATTGCAGGCCAAGCACAGCTTGTTTCCAAAGGCCTCCTGTATCCGGTGAACCAGATGTTTGTGATGGGCCTCATCCATGGCATAGAAGTGGTTGAAATCCAGGAAGACAATCTCTCGGGGGTGCTGTGTAAGAAACGAGTCAATCTCCATCAGCCCATCCCAGACCTTAATGCCAAAAAGTCCGTGGATGAAGTAGATCTCCTGGTCGGCATCCCCTGGCTTGGAGGACACACGCAGGTCAAAGTAGCGGATTCCAGCATCGAGCTGCTCTCGGAAGGTCAGGTTCTGAGTCACAGACCATTTCTTCATTAGCTTCTTCACTAAGGATATCCTGGCAAGGCGCATGATAGCTGGGGTTTGGTCAGGCCCCACTGGGGATTTCTCGTCGACCCAGTAGCTGAATGAATCATGGGAGCCTAGGCACACAAAGGAATAAAGGTGAGGAAAACAGTTGAGACTAGACCTGGCAAAAAATATGCCAATTGGTAGAAAAACAAACAAAAATTAGGAGACAAATGCACAGTAAAAAATTGTAAACAAATATCTGCAAAAATGTTCATGCTTGCTAGGAATGAAATAAGCACAAATGAAAGTCATGTTGCTTTAGCAGCTTATTAAGCCTTGGGTAAAACTATAATCCTCATATATTGCTAGTGTAAGATAAATTAATAAACAACTTTTGGAAAGCTATTTAGAAATATGCTTGGAAAGAGGAGCTTGAAAATAATCATAGTATCTGATCTAGTAATTTCATTTCAGGAGAACTACTTTGAGGAAATAAACTAATTTTGGAAAAAACAAATGTGTGTTGGAGAATATTCATAACAAAGACAAACTGGAGGTGGCTTGAGTGTCCCTCAAAGAGGAGTGCTTAATGGTGGCATACCGACTTTATTCACGCAGCCATTGAAACAGTGCGTATGAAAACTCCATGTCCATCTCAGTAATGCTGGGTTAGGCATCTAAATTCTAGGAAAGGCAGAATTTTTTTTTTTTTAATTCTGACTATTTTTTTATGCTTTTGTAAATACTATTTTACTACTGTAAAATGAGTCTATAGGAGACATCTTATGGAGGCTGCAGTGGTAGCAGCTGCTCTTCAAGTTCACTATGCCACTCAAGGACAACAACACGAAGAAAGATATTGAAAAGTTATCAAAGAAGGGCAAAGACCCAATGAACAAATCTGGGGGCAACAACAACAGAAGACGTGGTCGAAAGGCAAAGTTCGGGACAAGCTCAATAACCTCGTCTTGTTTGACCAAGCAACCTATGACAAACTCTGTAAGGAAGTTCCAACTATAAGCTTATAACCAGCTGCTGTCTCTGAGAGACTGCTTATCTGTGGTGCCTTGGCCAGGGCAGCCCTCCAGGAGCTCCATAGCAAAGGACTTATAAGTTAAGTCCTTTGCAAAGCACAGAGCTCAAGTAATTTACACCAAAAACGCCAAGGGTGCATATGTCCTAGATGTTGGTTGAAGATGCATGAACAACAGGTCCCACTAGCTATACATTTTGAGGAATAAAACTTTATTAAATCAGAAAGTACACATGAATGATTTCTTGACAGATGAGATAAACATTCTGCAAAGTTCAACATGGGTTAGTTATATGGCTTCATTTCAACTCATCTATTAATGAGCTGGATCTGCTACTAAATGATCAGAAGCATGTTCCCATTCTCTGCCTGAGATGATCTTTTTGTTATAAAGTATAAATGATCATGATAGACACATTTCTAACTTTAGTGAGGAACTATTTCTAAGGTGAAAATTATCTTTACAAATTAAAATGCTTACTTCACACGTTATTGGTTTTACTAAACTTCAAAGTATGCATTTCATATATAATACATAGAACTGGCCCTGGCCACTTTTGCTCAGTGGTTAGAGTGTCGGCCTGTGGACCGAAGGGTAGTAGGTTCATTTCCTGGTCCCAGAGGCACATATGGGAGGCAACCAATTGATGTGTCTCTCTTACATTGATGTTACTCTCTTTTTCTCTTTCCTCCTTCTCTCCCCCCACCCCCCAAAAATATTTATATATAGAGAGAGAACTTTACAAAACTTTATTGTTTTCTGCTTTATTATTGCCATTTTCTTGAAAATAAATCATTTGGGATGGCTTTATCTTCTATTATTTTATCTTCTCAGAAATAAAGTGAAAAAGGAAAAAGAAAGGAGGTAAGCAATGCTTTATTTTTATGTAGTCTTTGGAACATGGAGAATACCCAGTAACTATTAAGAAAAAATATATTTACCAATCATTAGGCAAAACCAATTTTGCAAGCAACAAAATTACTAGCATATTTCAGGTAAAAAAATGCTGTTACTACTAGAAATGTGGAGCAAGCCCCCACCCCTGGATTTCCCATATTGGTCGTTTCTGTTAATGACACTCGCTGGATACCTGCCTAATGCTCTGCTTCCTTTGACTGTTCTTTGGCTGTATAAAAACAGGAAATCTTTATACCTCCTCATTGAGAGATTTATTATGAATACATTACATACGCTTGGTGAACAGCCCACTCTCTCTTCTCTTTAAATCATCTTAGCAGGCCAACTGTTCAGGACTGTATGCAATGTAGTGCGAGGGAGGGTAACAGGGAACAGCCATTATCCAAGCAAGGGAGGAGACAGATCCCCCCCTGGAATTGCCTTGTGGCTGCTGAGCCCAGTTTTGTTTCCAGAGGGAGATGTGCTAACAACCTCCAACACTGTTCTCCTAAGTTGAGAATTATGCAGCAATGTGACAGTGATGGGGCCTCGGGGACCACTTCTGTATACACAGGGATACACACGGTGCCCAGACTGTCCCACAGAGGAGGGGGCGGGGGGCTGCATATGCACTGGGAACACAGAGTCTCTCTTTATCTCTCTGCTCCCTTTCCCATTTCCTCTCTTCCTTTCTGTCATCCTGTGTCCAGAGCCACCCGCTCCCTCCCCTTGACAGGAAAGGACAGGACAATGGAGCAGATTGTTTGCTGCATGTTTTATGGTAGTTGTCCGTCCCAGGCCCACAGCCGACAAAACCAGCCATCAACTTTAACTAATGCCAACGCTTTTGCCTTTCTACTTATTTCCCCCCACAGGTAGATTTTTACCTCACATAGAGTGAGTGAAATAAGTTGGTACTTAACTCTATTCAACTATTTCTTTTTTTAAAAAAACAGGATAAAAATGTCTTCCCCCTCCTGCACATGGAATATTTACAAGGTATGCAATCTGCAGATCGAAGTGATGAAAAAGCTAAGAACCATATGATTTCACTCATATGTGGGTTATAAAACTGAAACTGTGAACACAAGCGGCAGTGTGGTAGTTGCCAGAGGAAATGGGGTGGGGAGTGAAGGAGGATCTAACATATGGTAATGATAAAAGATCTGACTTTGGGTGGTGGGCACACAGTGCAATATACAGATCTTGTAACATAGAAATCCATATCTGAAACATATCTATATATATAAAAGCCAAGCTACCAGAACAATGGAAATAACAAGAGTGACTGGTCGCTATGACATGCACTGCAGGGGCCAACTGGCCAGATTGGGGCCCCGATTGCCCCCCCCCCCAACTCCTCCTGGTCCTTCCACTAGCTGGCCTGGCCCCCAATTGGCCCCCCCACCCTGATTGCAGGTGGGGACGGTGATCAATGGCCTGCAGCCCCTCCCCCCCACCAGCCCAGCCTGATAGAATTTGTGCACAGGGCCTCTAGTATGATCATATAACCAATGTCACCCCAATAAATTTAACAAAGAGAGAATGTCTATAGCAAGGGTTCCTTTTCTCTCTGTCTGTAATCTGTGGATTCAATTCATGCATTCCCCCGAAGAGGAAAAGAACAAAGCCCGCTCCACAGGTCTTCCTTTGTTCTCTAAGAGATGGCTGCCTCGGTTGTTAGAGGGGCAGCTTCATGATCTCTCATTTGTTTTCGGAAAAGGTTAGAAAACAGCTAAGGACCTCTTCCTGCTGTGATTTCTGCCACAGGGGTGCCTATCCATCTTCACTCCTCCCTCTCTATGGCTCCTTTATCTCTGTCTGAAGTAGATTTATGTGGTGCCCTTCATCTTAAGAACAGAACAAAGCACTTTCCCATACATGGCTTACTCCTTCAGGAGACTGTCTTCTCTTCCTCACTATCAGATTCTTGAAGGCCAATCCTGCTGCTTGGCCTCCTATGATCCCCTCTTCCCATACCGTGTTTCCCCGAAAATAAGACATCCTCCGAAAATAAGACCTACTTACAGGTTTCCTTCTGAGTGAAATATAAGGCATCCCTCCAAAAATAAGCCCCCCCCCCTCCCCCCAGGCTCTCTTAGAATGCTATTGCTAAACATGAGCAATTTGGTCCACTGATTCTGAAAGAAATGGAGTCACAAGAAATTCACCAGGAAATTCAGGAATTGGATTTTTATGATGATGTTCCAGAAGATGATGACATGATTGTCATTGAATAAATGAGTAAATTCTTGATACTGTAGGATTCAGTTTGTCTGGTTTGTGTTGACAACTACCATACTACCGTACTGTATACAGGTAATAAATTTCCTTTATTTAACAATAAATGTGTACCATATTTTTTTCATGGAAAAATAAGACATCTCCTGAAAATAAGGCCTAGCGCATCTTTGGGAGCAAAAATTAATATAAGACACTGTCTTATTTTCAGGAAAACAGGGTAGAAGGGTAGGCCACCTCTTACCTTCTATTGCTACCTTTGATCCCTATAACCTTCAAATCAACAACTCCAAATAAGCTTTATTCTTGCTGGCTTCTCTGAAAGTTTACTAAATCAGCTTTTTTTCTGCAAGATTCCATTCCCTTGTCTTCCATGATGCATAATTTAAGGCATTCCCATCCTCCTGTCATCACTCTCTTTCTGTCTCCTTGCTGTTTCCTTATCTTCCTTCTTGTCTCCAAAATTAAATGCGTTTCAAGGATCCTTGCCTTTCCCCACCTTTTCATTCACTCCCCAAGTTTACACAGTTCTGTTGTACAGATGACACCAAAAGCCTCATCTCTAGCCTCGTTTCTTTTAAGTTCCACATTTGCTTCTAACTTCCTGCTATGGTCTTCCACCTGATGGCCTCCTTACACAATAAATTACACATTTTGAAAGCCCAGCCGCTCAGGCTGTCCCTCCCCTCACCACCAAGTGCCTCACCTGAATTTCTGCTAATATTTAACTCAGTCACTCAGATTGAAATGTTGGATTCAGTTTAAATTCTTCCTTCTCTCTCACCCTCTGCATCCAATCAATTACCAAAACTGCATTTTACTCTTACAAAATATTATACATCAAACCTATCTCTTCCTTTAAACTTCAATTGCCACTCTCTTGTTCACACATTCATTACCAGGACATAATCAGGACGAAAGAACCCTGATTTTATCTTTTCACTCCAGCCTCAATTCAT